AAAAAAAAAAAGATAAATAATAAATATGTAAAAATAAAAATAAAAAATAAAGATAAAAATAACAAGAAATAAAATAATGAATTAAATAAGTAAAAAAAAAGATTAGATTTTAATTTAATGTGCTAAGATATCATTCATCATAGAATTCAAAATTATTAATTATTAAATGATTTCATAAATATGAATATCTATGAAATTACCTGATAGTTATCAAAAAAACCTTAATTTATAATTCAAATATAATTTTGATAGTATAAAAAAAAAACAAAAAAAAAACTAAATACTAGCCTTAGATACATTCATATTTGTTTCTCTTAGTCACTATCTTTCTCGCATTATCTCCTATTCTTTATCAACAAGACTATAAATTGTTAATAATATCATAACAAGCTTATTATTCTGCTAAAAAAAAGCTAACACACTATTTATTACTACCTCAGAATAAATATTTCAGTCAAGTTTAACATTTTTATCTACTCTTAATTTTTTTGAAAATCTAAAAGAATTTTCGAACAGTTCTACAAATACTAATTCTAATTTATTGAAAATACTAGAAAGAGTAATACTAGAAAAATAATTATCCATATATACATTATATAGATAGTATTAATATGAAAGTTGCTTAACAAGATGAAAGACCAAATTTCTAATCTGACTAAGACTCTGAATTTTTTTTGTATTACTTGAAACAATACATAATATTGGTATAAAAGTATATGTATACTCTGCTTTATAAAGTGATAAGATTTTGAATCTCTCTGGTGTTAGTTTGTTTTTTATATGAACTGTTTGAATGCTTCTACTAGAAAATCAGATTATCATCTTATCAATTGAAATATTTGAATTTGGTATGTAAAAATGTTTCGAAGTATCTTTAATATGAGAAAGTAGCAGTTTCAATTTTTCAAAGTAATTATTATTTTCTTGAATAGGAGAAGATATATACAAAACCTTTTAATTTGCTCAAACTGAAGTAATTGCATTTGCTTTGAAATATTATGAGTGAAAAGCTTAGAATTTTAATTCTAATATTGATTAAGAGCAAGGGACTTAAAAAGTTTCTGGTAAATAACAAGAGCAATTCAAATAATTAGCTCTTTATATGTTATGTTCTGCTACTATCTACTAATAGCACTAGCATTCTTAGTTAATGTATACAAATTTTTGTTAACAACAATTGTGTCTAATATATTTGTTGTAAAAAAAAAAAAAAAATATCTATTGGCTTAATAGTACTAACATTAAGTTATGACAGCAACTAAACAGATACCTGATGTAGTGGTCTTAGATAAGCAAATAGCTCAAAGTCTGGTAAAGTTATTGGTAGCTCTTGTTGTAATATTTCTGCTAATTTATTTTTTCTTTCAGATACTTTTAATATTTGTTTCTTCATTACTTTTGCTTTTACTTTCTGTACTCAAATTATTTAATGAATACCAATAAAAAGTTAGAAGTAGTTCATATTTATCTTCATTATTAGTATTTAATTTTTTAACAAAGAGAGTTGAACTTAAAGTTAATATATTTGTTTCGACTACAGAGGATAACTCAGAGGATGACCCAGAAGTTGACTCAGAAGATGATCTATTTATAGAGGATGTAGTAATAGTTTTTTTTCATTTTTTTTCATTTTTTTTTACTTTTTTTTTCTTCTGTTTTTTTTTTTTTTTTTTTTTAAATCATACTAATTACACTTAATTTAAAGCAAAATCATCATTATTTAAGTTTGTAGATGATTATTTGTTTATTCATTATTTAAAAGTTGTTTTGTACAAAGAATTCAGTTTAATTTCTATGTAGTGACTTAAAAGTTAGTTGATTATTAAGTTATCTAAATACATATTTTGGGGTTTACTTGTATAGTAACAGCACTAGAAGTAGAAGATACTATAAACTATAGTATGATCAATATATCACATACTTCAATTTTAGCATATAAAATAGAGGGTCAAAGCTTAATAAAATCTTATACAATTATCCAAAAATAAAGTTAAAAAATTTTAGCATACAAATTTGTATACTATATAGTTTAAGAGATAGTATATATTTACTAAGTATGTTTTCTAGTGAATATATATTATATTAACTATTAGTAGTTATTATTTGCAGTAATAACTAAATTTAATAGATTGTAGAGTTTAATAATTTTGCAAGTAGTTGTATATTTGTTAGATCTATTGATTAATAGATTTGAATATTAAAGGAGATTTGTAGTAGATATAAATTGTTTTAGAGTTGTTGAACTTATATTTGAGTAAATAATCCTAATAGATCAAAATTATTAAGCTATAATAAAAAGTTAGTAATATAGTACTGTAGTTAGATATTCTAAATATTTTTAATACTATAAATATTATAATTAAACATAATACTATTTAGAAATATTTTAGAATAACTTGCTTTATACTTAGCAACTATAAGATATTTTGATAAAATATTTTGGCATATTGTTAAAGTAATAATAATATATTGTATTCGATATTCTAAAGTCAGAATGATAACTTTGTTAATAATATAGTCAGCTTGCTTGTCTATAATATTTTTTGTGTTTAAAATATCAGCAAGAGAGGAGACCTCTTTTGATATTAAAATAATTTGAGCTTTTTAGTTGTTGTTTAATGTAAACTAACAGCCAAAAAATTTGAATAGCATTTTTATTGAAATTGGTATAATAGAGAAGTTAATGAATTAAATACTATGGAGATTCATAGTATTAGAAACTAGAATGGATTTGTTGAGATTAACTTGAATATTTGCTATCTGAAAAAAAGATATAGCAATATTAATTATTTTAATAAGTTGTAGTTTAGGTCTTGCAACCTATAATATGTTATCTATAGATGCTAGAACTGATGTATTAGTATGAGTTTCATTTAGCTTGATTTGTTGTATATTTTCAGACTATATTGTAAACATCTGATAGCCTTTTATTTCTTTAGTAACTTTTGTTTGAGAGGGTTATAATAAATATACTAGAAGAGTAGTATTATTATCTTAATTAATACTATTTTGAATCTGATATGAGTTTGTGAGTCTAAAGTTAGTAATAACTTTGTTTGTTCTGTCAAAGAAGAGGTTAGTTAGAATATTGATGAGAGGTTCTAGAAGTTGAAGAGCTAGTTTAAAGAGGTTAAAATTAACTAAATTATATACCTTACTTATATCTTAAGATAAGAGTCAGAATTCTTTTTCATTGCATATAATATTTTTAATAATATTATTAAGAATATTAATAGGTATATTAGTACTATTACCAGGTAATACAATATAATTAAAAGATGATAATATAATATATTTTGTTAGAGTATAATTGAGTTAATTAGTTAATAGTTTGGTATAAAGTTTTTTAACATATTCAATTAAGCTAATTGGTTTTGTATTTAATAGATTTCTATTAAATAATAGTTTTTTAAATATTAGAAAGATATGACTATTTTTTTATTGTTTAGAAATTTGTTGTTGTATTAAGCACTAGTTTAGAAGTTTAGTAATAAGTTGTAGAAATAAAATGCTTGCATATTTGAAAATATTATAGCTAATTCTAGATAGTCTACAGGCTTTGCTATTTGGAAGCTAAGAAATTGTTTGTTGAACTTCATCAATTAGTATTAGTTGAAAAATATCTGAATACTAGTTTGTTTAAATATTAGTTTTTGGAGTATATTCTATAGTCTAGTTAGTATTAAAAATATTAAAATTAATTAGCTAAGAAGCTATCTAATTATAAAAATAGTTTTGAATTATTTGTTTAATAGATTTTAGTTCTGTAATAAGATTATTATTAGTTTTGATATTATCAAATCTAACAAGATCTTTGTATCTATTAAGTATGCTATTAATAATTTTTGTTGGATTTGTTTAGATATTTTCATAACGTTTGTTCAAAGCTTTATGAATTTGCTTATAAGTTGCTTTATTGTTTTCAAAATTATAAGTATGAAATAGAGTTTTCTAGTACTGTTTAGTAATATTAACTCAGTTAGCAAGTTGAGTTGCAGATAGAGGAAGTAGTAAAATATCAAACTCATATTTAGAGTTAAGTTATTGAATTGTTGTAGTTATATGTTGTAGTATGGATAAGTTGTTGCTAATAACTTTTTAATAGTTTGAATTATATTTCTTAGAGCCTTAAAATCTTGATATAAGTTAGTAGCTTTGAAAGTATGTTGGTGTTAGAAGTTAAAAGCTTTGAATCTTTTGTTTAAAATATTTGCAAAAGCAGTTTTAGAAATGCTAGTTTGTATTTTGTACTAGCTCTTTTCTAGTAATTCTGTTTAAATTAAATCTATAGATATTTTGTTTGTATTTAGATTTGATAAGACTAAATTTGTAAAATCTTTCTACAATTCAGAATTTATAGATTTGTAGTTAAATATTCTATGTTGAATATTGGTTTTGTATCTGGTTTTGTTTTAGAAAACAAATAGAAAGAACCAAGATAATATAAGAATTTGGTAGTTACTATTTAATATAGTTTCAAAATCTGTAAGTATAAAATTTAAGAAATATAGAATAGTAGAATAATGTGTCTATATATAATCTATACAGCTACCAAAGTGACTGCTTTGTTAAGTATTTTAATTAGTTGATGTATAATCAGCTAAATTATATATATTTTGGCTTTGCAAGTAGAAGAGTAGTTTAGTTTTAGCAAAATAAGAAGCTTGGTATTCTGTGTTTGAGTTAAAGTCTCCTATAATAATAGAAAGTAAGTTAGTAGATAAAGTATTTTGAATCTAGTAGATAACTTTGTTTTGTATTGCTTGTCTAATTACTAAGTTTGTACTTGATAAGTAAACAGATATAATATAGAATTTAAAGTTGTTTTTGAAGAAGAGATCAATGATAATAACTTCTCCTAGATGTTTATAGATATTGTATATATGTGATTTGATTATATTATTAATCATAATACAGGTATCCTCTGCAAAGGTATTAGAGTTAGCCTAGAAGTAAATAAAATCTTTTGTATTAAAGAAATAGAGTATAGTATATTGAGCTGATATTTTAGTTTTTGTAAAGCTTATGATATGTAAGTTATGAGTGAGGCAATACTCTTTCTATAGTTTTCTTTTTAAAAGTTAGTTATATCCTTTTATATTGTATATTGTAATATTAAGTAATAGGAAATTGTCAGGAGTTTGAGACCTAATAAATAAATAAAATAATTTAGTATAGTTAGTAGAGTAGAATATAGTGTGATTTGATAATAGTGAGTTTAGAATATTAGTATAAATATATATTTTTTTTTAGTATAAAATTAATTAATATTTTAAATAGAAGTTTATAATTTAGTTTGATTAAATATAGAATAAATAATTTGAGTATTTGATTTGAATTAAAAGTGAGATAATTATATTGTTTTAAGAATTAATTATAACAGGTAACTTCAGTGTATAATAAAGTAATATTTACTAAAGTTGTATTAAAATTTTCTGTAAAAAGAGTACTTGCTATATAACTAGTTCTCATAGTTGTAAAGTTTGCTAAAGCTTGCTCTATATATTGAGTCTAGCTAATATATTTTTAGTTCTTTACAGAAGTAGATTTAGCTATTTGCTTACTTTTATTATTTTTCTTTAAAAATAGCTTACAATCAGTAAAAAAATATTATTATTTCAAAGGCAGTAGCTACATTTATTGTTTCTATAGAAGAACTTATTAAAAAGAGAAGGTTTTAGTTTCTGGTATAGTTAATAGAAGTTCATATTATTTCACAAATACTTAACTCACAGACATGTTACTTCATAAATAATCAATTCACTAACAAGCTTATTTTATAGACAACTAATTCCTAGATAAGCTTATTTTGTAGACAACTTATTTAATAGATAGCTCACTTTATAGACAAGTTTATTCCTATAAACTTCTCTAATCCTAACTCTAACCCTAACTCTAATCGAATAAAAATAATGTCTATAAAATGAGATGTCTATAAAATAAATTGTCTATAAAATAAGTTTGTCTAGGAATTAGTTGTCTATAAAATAAGCTTGTCAGTAAATAATTGTCTGTAAGGTAGTATATTTGTGAGTTGAATATCTGTGAAATAAGTACTACCTAGTTAATAGTATATCTAGAGTTTTATTTAATAATTTTTTAAAAATTTCTAAATCAGCAAAGAGATTATCAATTTTCATTTTTTTTTTTTTTTGTTTTTTTTTTTTTTTTTTTTTTTTTTTTTTTTTTTGGCGATGAACATATAAAGAAACTGATCTCTACGTTTTCACACTTATTATTATTACTTTTTTAGTGTTTCGCTTGCTGTTACATTTTATTCGTTATTATATATATATTTTTTTAAAATTCTAGAAACAAGTTTCAAGAGAACTATGGAAGATGTGTTTTTTTTTTTTTTTCATAAATGCTATTTAAAATGCTGGCTTGTTGGTTACTTCTGAGTATTTATTTGAAGTTATAGATACAGTTTCTTTAGAGTTTACAAGTAGCCTTCAAGTAGAATTCAAAACTGCAAATGAAAGTATAAATTTATTGACTATTGAAGCAGATAAAGCAACTGAGAAAATGGAACCAGGTAATAAACAGAACTTTTAGCTCTCAGTAGGCAGTTCGTACTCATCATAGGATATAGCTGAAACATATCTCAACAATTATGCCAAAGCTGTAGGATTCACTTTACATCGAAAGCGAGTAGTGACAGATAGTAATAGAGAAGTTCGACAACATACATTTAAATGTTCATATTCTGGGGAATCAGTTAGCAATCAAGTTATAGATCTTTCTAGGCAGCGTGATTGTGCTTCAATAAAGATTTTATATTCATAGCACATTAATCTATATAAACAAAAATTATTACTGAATGTGACTATTACAAGTATAGTAGGAGAACATAACCATCAGTTGCAACCAGATGCCACCTTATTTGCTCCAAAATATAGAAAACTTTCTTCAGAAATTTTGGAAACAATAGAGTTTTATGTTACAAAAGGCAATATGGGATCCAAACAAATTTTACCTCTTTTAACCACACATTTCTCTAATCATATAATTCATAAATCTGACCTATATAATACTGTCCAAAGGTTTAGAAGGCCAATAAATCAATATCATGGTGAAGTACAAAAGTTTGTTGAATGTTTGTTACAGCTAAAGAATCAGAATCTTGGTTGGATTGTTCATATTAGAATAGACCTATATGATAATCGGTTGTTAGGAGTGTTTTGGATGTCACCACTGCAACAGCAATACTTGATCCACTATATCGATATCATTCAAACTGATAATATATGTCAAACAAATTGGTTCAACATGTATCTTACTCTTTTAGTAGTTGTTGACAATAACATAAGAACTTGGCTAGTAGCTCAATCATTATCAGATGACGAAACTACTGAATCATACGAGTGGTTTTTTGAATGCCTTAAAAATGCAATACATAATATATCTCCTGCTGTTTTATTTTCTGACACTAAACCAGCTCTTATTAGTGCTGTTGCTTTAAAATTACCTGAAATGCATCATTTTTTATGTGCTTTTCATATTCAGGAGAATATTTGCAAAAATTTAAGGAGTAAACTTGGCAGAAATTTTGATGAATTCTATAAAGAATTTTTACATATGCATAATAGTACATTTGAAGAGGATTTTTTTAGAAAGTGGTCACATCTATTAAATAAGTATCCTCAAGCACAAGATTATTTCAATAGGGCGTTACAGGGGTGTATAAAATTGTGGACTCATTGTTATCAATTAAAAGTTTTTATAGCAGGTATTCAAAGTACCCAACATGTTGAAGTAATGAATAGACTTATTAAAAATGGTATAAGAAGCACTTCCTCTTTGCATAACCTTCATGAACATATACAAAATCTCCTAGACAACGAAGCTAAATAGGCACGACATAATAGTTATTTAAATTCTCTTCCTACCAATCATGCTCCATCAATAATTAAACTAATATTTTTAAAAATTTTGAAAGTATTAAAATCATACTTGACACCTCACATATTGGTTGTATAACAACATCAAATTACTGGTTCTCTTTTATATCATGCGCAACTACTACCGAAAGAAAACATTCAAGAATTACAGATTTAATAATCTATTTATTGTATTTTAGTCTATTTTACACCTAAGTTAAAATTAAACAATTCGACTACATAGTCAAATTTTTTAATTTTGAACTTGTGATAATTTATGTTTTATTATTTTTAGGTAAACCTTCAATTAGATTATAAAAATGGTTTTTTAGAGGAACAACTTGATAGACCTCAAGTATCTATTGCAGCCCTCATGAAGGATATTGACATAAGTGACATAGTTGAAATTTGGGAGTTGATAGGTAGGGTTGTTAATGGAGTGCTCCAGACTATAATAAAACATATAGCCTATATTGGAGCACTTCAGAAGGGGTTATATGTTTTATTATAGTCTGAAGTATTTTACTAACAACCCTATTGATAAGTTTATCAATAACTTACAAACACTATATTGTATTACTAAATGATAGTAGACATTTATGTACTTGTATGGCTATTATAAATCGTGGCATTATATGTGCTCATTTTTTTCAAGTAATAATGAATACTTGAATGGCGAAGTTTCATATTGGATTAGTTTCAATACATTGGTATCAAGATAATTTGCAGGATAAAAAGTTGAATGTTTTACAGCAGCAAAGTATTGAGATCTCAACGACCTTTCAACAAAATACTTCAAGTGTTATTGTATCAGACCTTCATATTATTAAACAAATCCGTGATAATGATATGTTTAGTGCAAAAAGTCAACAAATAGTTAACAAAAAAGTTCAGTATGCTAATGAATTTGGTAAAATGAAGAAGGCTCTTAATACTGCTTTGAATCTTGGATATGAAAAAGAGCTTATTAATTTGATAACTAGTTTTATTGATCAAAAAGTATCTATTTATGAAAATTGTAATGAAGACTCTTGATCTGATCAATCTGAACAACTAGTTGTAATAGATCCTTTAGTTGTAAAACGTCATGGATGGCTACCTAGTAAAAGATTAAAAAGCTCTTCTGAAGATAAAAGCCATAAAGGATTGGAATGTAATTATAGTGCAATTAACATTCAAGATCCTAATTTAAGAACACCTCTCTCAAACATTAATTCGAATATTGTGGATACAATTAGCAATATAGAAGAAAATAAAAGAAAATATATATGCAATATATGTGGTGGTACAGGACATAACGCACATACATGTAAATAGTAACAATAGTAATATGTAGGTATTGGTATAATTTTCATACATAGGCACTTTAATTATGTTATATGATTTGAACTAGTAATAGTTAAGGAAAATATATATGTAATAGCATAGAGCATAATTTATGGTGCACTTCTAATTGATATATGATTCTGAACTACATAGTAATAATTAGGTTATAAATATTACTACATATAGTATTGAGTATGAATAACAGGCTTTTATGATTTAGCAGTTTATTACATACTAATAATTTTTACTTTTTAGGCAAAATAATATATGTATTAACATTACGTATGAATGCCAGATAAGTATTATTGCATTTTTTTGTTATTGCAATTCAAAGTAATACATATGCATTTTTGTTTCGTTATGTAGTATATAACAAGTTATATATAAGACTTAATTTTTTTATTAAGGTTAGGGTTAGAACAGGCTATATAATATAGTTGGGTTTGGGTTGAGGCAGGTTATACGTAGGTATATAAGCAGGTTTTTTAATAAAAAATTTTTTTGCGTCATTATTTTTACTTTGTCTGTATCAATTATATGCATTATTCTTGTCTAATAATAATAAAGTATACTATATAGTATATCGTATATATGATACAAGGTTAGCAACGAAGACCAAATTCTTAATTCGTTAAGGTTAGAGTTAGGGTCAATGTTAGAATCA